CTAAGGAAAGCTGGCCCTTCCTTTAGAAAACCCAGAACTGACTCCCTTAGGAGGAGTCAGTAAATGACTGGTTCAGAATTGGAAGATTTCTGAGGTCACCTAGTGCAACCTGTCACATGGCCATCAGATGCTCAAGCACCTGAGAAGTCAGGCGGTAGGGAAGGGAGTCCCCAGACAGAGGTCAGAATACATAGGTTCCAGCCCAGCTCTATGGCAGGATCCCTGTGCTTTGGCTACTCAGTCCTCTCGCCAGACTTCAACGCCCACCTGTCACAAGAAGGGATGGGTCTTGGTAGAGGGGATTTGGCTGTGTTCAAAAGCCCCTATGTACCAGACACTCACTGGGCGAGGCTTTCCCATGCATTCTCCAAGGTTCCTCCAGCTCAGACACGCTGCTGCCTTCCAATGCAGAGGATCAACTACAAAGAATGTGATTTCCCAAACAGTGAGCCCAAGGCGAGGGGTGGCATTCTGCCAGCTGGAGGAGAGGACACAGAACATCTCCTTTTCCCACTACTGGGAGCCATTCCTGCCTTTGTTCCTCTCATTTCACCAAGACCAGGACTTGAACTGGCCTTCCACGGTGAGCAGAGTGAGAGCCAGCATTGGGGACTGAACATGGGACCAGCCATCCCAGAGGCCAAGGAGGGAAGTCAGAGGAAGACCTAAGAAAAGCAAATGGCACATCAGATGGACCAGCACTGAAGCCAGAGAAGAAGTATCACCCTCTTGGCCTTCTCATGGTCTTGTGTCCCTTCCTTGCTTTGTTCCCTCCAGAGCATCAGGCAGGCACAAAAGATGAATGGGGGGCAAAGGTCAGGTTCAGGAGGCCATGGGGGACGGCAAGGATTCGGGGCATGTGAGGAGGCGACAAGTGCAGGCTGCAGATTGAGAGATGAGGTAGACAGCAGTGCCCTGGGCAGAGGAGGAAGCCTATGGGGAGGAATCGGAGATTAGCAGCCTGAGTGGGGGCATGGCCAGCCCAGAACAGCCTATGCAGGGCTACCCAAGATGGGAAGAAACACAAGACCCCTGGCTCAAGTCATATACCCAGGACCATCTGCCGTCACCACACACTTCCAGCTAAAACTGTTCCCCACACCCCTTCCCCAGGGCAGCGAATGCTGTGATCAGTCCCTTTCTGCACCCACAGTAAAGCAACAGCTCAAAGAGTCTGTCTCACTTCAAGAGAAAGAAACCTGCCAGCTTCTGCCTCTGCAAGAGAAACAGGCAGTGCCTCCTTGGTCTGGGGAAGAGCTGGGGTCAAGGCCTCTGCAGGGGTCATGGAGTGTGAGCTCATCCTCATTACGTGGGGTGGGGGCTAGACAGTTACCTTCACTCATCATGTGGGCCCTATGAGGTCACTCGCAGACACTGAGGGAATCTTCCCAATATACATGCATGTCCGGCCCCCAAATGGGCAACATAAGGACAGAGAATGAGCCCTCTGAGCCTTTAAGATTCTGAGATTCCTCCAGCCCCTGCCCTTCACACACACACACACACACACACACACACACCCCAGCTGCACGCTCCTCCTCCCTCCTTCCCACACCCTATCTTTGCCCATGGCCAAAGGCTCATACACACTGTCTCCCCCAAAGCTCTCATTATGCTGTGAATCAGAGGGCGGGAGGCAGATCTGGCAGATACAGCCCCTAGAAACCCATAAGACCGGTGTGACTTCCGGGAGCAGGGTCTGCTGCCCTGGGACTCACTGTCATGGGCTGGGGAGAGGCAGATTCCTGTCGTGTGAGGTCAGCAGCAGAGCTCAAGGTCATGAGTGCCCATGTGAGTTCTCCACCAGTGGGGTGGAGGGGAGAGCTCCCCCGGCCCCAGAAGATGACACAGCCCACTTGCTATGGAATAGGCAGAGCGAGGTTGTGGGTGGGCTCAGGGATCAGAACTGGAATGAGGAGGGCAGCCTTTCAGAGGCGGGAGTCCCTCCTCTCTCTTTCCAGACTGAGCCAGTTGAGCATGACAGAGTTAACCCTGTAATTGATCTATTCGGGGCTGGAAGGAAAGTGCCTGTTGGAAAATCCATGAGGAATCAGGATACTTCTCAAAATTAGCCCCAGAAATGAATATTTGTCTTCATATTGTTCTAATAGTTCTTTTTTGTTAGGTTGTAAGAAAGTGAGTTTAAATAATGTTCATAAAATAAGCTATAAACCAATCATAAAAAAAGCAAATCACAATTCAGTTTTGTTTGCGCGCACACACACACACACACACACACACACACAATTCTTCAATAGTAGTTATCTCCAGGTGGAGAGTTTCACTGTTTATTCATTCCTTCACTTACTATTTGTAGAGCACTGATTTGTGTGGTGGTTGTCATGGGTTCTGGGAATGTGGTGGAACACACACGAGGCAAAACAACCCCTGCCCTATAAAGCTTATTCTCCAATGGGAGAGAGAGGAGAGATAGGGAAGAACCAAGTGACCAAATACAAATAAAAAGGGCCCTCAATTGTTATCAGTGGCATGAAGTAAACCAGAAGATAACCCTGCAGACGGAGTAGTCAGGCAAGGCTCTCTGGTGGCCCCACCATTCACACTGATGCTGAGGAACAAAAAGCGAGGGGCCCAGGGAGCACCAAGCCCAGATGTGAGAGCTCCAGGCTCCTCCTGGTAGCTGAGGACCCTCAGCAAGGCTCTCTGACAGCATAGCAATGAGTCTGGATTTTATTCCAGGTGCACTGAGTCGCCACCAATATCAGGGAGGGATGAGCTGCAATATCCACTCTGCAAAATTACTGAAGCTCTTTTAGAGAATGGTTTGGAGAAAGTAATAGATAGTTTGATTTCATCTTTATACCTTCATGAATTTCCAAAAATAATTATAGAAAGTGTTTAGCATCATAAAAAGCAAACTTTATTTTATAGATTGTATATTTAGTACCTGTTTCCTTGTCTAGAGTGGCCCATGTTTTGGAGATTCTATGAGTTTTGATTCTTGGGAACTTCTGAACTACAACCTTGGACATAGGGACAGGGCAGCCCACAGCACAAAACAGGAGACTCCTACAAGCATTCTATTAGTCTGTATTGGGCCTAAAGTCCTGTCCCCCTGAAGTGACAGAGTTTATTTCCTCACCAAATAGAGTTAAATACAGGTCCTGAGAACAGAGGAGCTGTGGGCCAAGACCCCTAATAACTCCATCTCTTCATGAGAAATGATTTGTGCCAACTTTACACAATATACCCTGGTCTGGACATTCCATAAAGACACACAACTTTCCATTTCTTCCCCTTGGAAGTGAATCTCTCAACCTAATAATGGGGATAAACCCATTTTAAGGGTAGAGAAATGGAGATTCAGAGATGCTTGGCTGAGGTCACAAAACAAGAGGAAAAGAGGACCTGGTTCCCAACCTGCCTCCTTCACCTCTCTGTGCTCAGGTCATGAGTAAGACAGGAGTGCCTGAGCTCCCAGAGCCCTCTGGCCAGGCAGGAGCTGTGTCTCTCTGTGAAAAGGGGCCCCAAGCAGTTTTCTGCTTTAGGTGCCTCTGATGAGTCAGGGAGGGGCTGGAGGAAATTGACCAACTTCAGTGGTGAAACCAGTCCATCTCCTTCAACCTGGGAAGGTGGCCAGGCTGGGGGCAGTATAAAGGGCACCCTGGCCCCTGCTCATCTCAGCACTCCACTAGAAGCCTCTCCAGTCATCCTTACTGTGAGCCTGGTAAGTGTTAGCCAGCAGCAGCAGGGCTGAGTGAGACCAGGGGCCTCCAGCAGGCCAGAACCTGGCTGGGTCAGCTGGCCTGGGCAAGTGCAGCTTTCACTCATGGGCTGGACTTAGCTGTAGTGCCTGTCCTTCTAGAAGAGTTCAGGTCACTGTGCTGAGGGGTAGGTGCCATGGAATGGAAACAGAACAGACAGCAATCTGATCCTGACCCATCTTGTCTTGGGACATTTTGGAATGTGTGTGTGTGTGTGTGTGTGTGTGTGTGTGTGTGTGTGTGTGTGTGTGAGAGAGAGAGAGAGACAGAGAGAGACAGAGACAGAGACAGAGACAGAGACAGAGACAGAGACAGAGCGAGGGTCAGCAAGGCGGGGTAGGGGGTGAGATGGTGATGCGGGGGAAATATGGCCAAATTCTTTCCTAAAGTTGTTTGACTTAGGTTGACTGTGATTTTGCTTTCTCTATGGGGTCAGGGGCTTCAGGCAAATGCATGTAACTATTGGCTCTGTGGCAAAAGGGGAAACCTCAGAATAGGGAAAACTTTCTATTTGGAGAAACCCAGGCAGACCAGGGCCAGGAAAACCCAACCTAAAAGTGGAGATTTGAAAGAGCCAGCACCACTCTCAACAACCTTGCAGCCCCTCCCACCACCCCTCACCTGAGCACTGCGGCTGCAGCTGAAGCTCAAAGATATGATGGGAAGTAGCTCTGGATTAGAATAGGCCAATCCATTCATTTTAAAGACGAGACAGCTGAGGCCCAGAGGGGCTAAAGACCTTGCCCATAAGCACACAGGGATGTTTAAACCAAGAATATGTCATGTGACTCCAATCCAGGACTTAGGCCATGACTTCTCATGTCCCATCTGCCATGGGCTATTGGGTTCCAGGACTCAGCATTCCTCTTGGAAGTCTTTCTTTCCTAGGACCTTACCTCTTTCTGCTATAATCTCAGAACTCTTCTCTCCTCCTTGGTCAACTGAGGTCAGAATTAAGGAGATACAAGGATGAGTCACAAGCAGGAGGCACAGCGGCACCCAGCCCATGCTTGCAGAGCAGCTCTGGAGACAGACCGTTTGCAGGGAAGAAGAAGGCTCCCAGGAGGGCCTCTCCCCACCTCTCCCCATTACTACCCTCACTCTCCGCTGCTTCTGGGGAATGACAACTGGACGTGGTGGGAGAGTGACCAGCCCCAGAAGAGAGAGGGTGCTGAGAAACTGAGCACTGATCTCTGGGGGATTCATCTAGTTTCTCTCTTCAGGCACTCCTCTAACCTCTCCTGTTTTTCAGGTTGACCTAAAGCAGCTTCCGAGATGTCCCAGCAACACATTCTGCCCGTAACTCTTCCCCCTGCTCTCAGTCAGGAGCCCCTCAAGCCTGTGTCTCCTCCCACTGATACCCAGCAGGAGCAAGTGAAGCAGCCGATTTCACTGCCTGTCCCATGCCAGAAGGTGTCCTCTGAGCTGCCAGTGGAGGTCCCCTTGGAACATGGGGAAGCGCACACAATTCCTGTGAAGGGGGTGCCTGAGCAAGACTGTGAGCCACAGCCCCAGAAGCTGCAGCAGCAGGAACAGCATCTGGAACAGCATCTGGAACAAAAACAGGAACTGCAGCAGCAGGAACAGGATTTGGAACAGAAGCAACAAGAGTCACAGAAGCAGGAACTGCAGCAGCAGGAAAAGCATCTGGGACAAAAGCAGCAACAAGACTCACAGGAGCAGGAACTACACCCAGAACAGCATCTGAAACAGCTGGAGCAACATGAGCAGGAAGCGCAGCAGCAGCAACAGGAACAGCATGAGCACCAAGAAGCAGAAAACTTGGAACAGCAGCTGGAGAAAGATAAAGCACAAAGGGAACAGCTGCTACAGGAGGAGAAGCCCCTGGACCAGCAAGTGGAGCAAGAGCTGGCAAAGAGGGATGAGCAACTAGAAAAGAAAGAAGAGCAGCTGCTGGAGCACCTGGGACAGAAGCAGCTAGAGGCAACAGAGCAACAGAAGGGACAGCTGGAGCAACCCGCATTTGTGCCAGCTCCTGGCCAGGTCCAAGAGATCCACCCAGCCCAGGCACTGCAGGAAGTCTTGTCCTCCGCAGAGGAACAGAGGAAGAAACAGGAGGCATAGTGGCCCCTCAGACATAAGTAACCACTCCCAATGTCCCAGAGGCCCTCAGGCTATCCCACAAAAGTGAAGAGAGAGCTGAGCCAGTGGACTCACTTATCTCAGGTCCCCCAGTCTGGATGGCCCACCTTATCTGTAAACCTGTCTGACCCTGTTTTTCTGCATGTCTTTGTGCAGTGTGGTGGTGGGGGTGGGGGGTGGTATTGCCAAGCACCTACTCCTGATGACTCCAATTCCACCCAATCCCAACCTCAGGTGGCCAGAGCCTCTGCCTGAGGACAGTTACTACAGTAACTCTGACTTCATCCCCAGTATTATAGCTCAATCTGTGAATGTATACAATGATACAGAATAAATCTTAGAAGTCCTGAGATCCTGTATTCTCTTTGGCTTCTGTTCCTCTGTCTCTTACCATATGAAAAACCCATGTGTGGGTCAATAGTTACAATGGACTTTCTTGGCCAACTCCTAAAGAAGGACAGACATCTTGACCTCACTTTAAGTCTGCTCCCAAACTACCCAATACTTTCAATAGCTTCTAAAAATGAAACCAGACCAAAACAAAAACAACTTCATCATGCACCTGAAAGCACACTTGCAGTGATGAAGTGGGGATAAGTTACTGTGGTTGCAGGGGAGGGGATCTAGCCATCTCAGCCCAGCACTGCCTTACACACACAGAACCCATTCTCAGCCCATGGCCAAGGGGACAGGCAGGGAGTGGGAGCTCCCTCTGGGTTCTGGTCCCATCCTGGGTTTTCTTTCTGTAGAGTGGTCTCATATTTTCCAAGAATCTTGTGGACAGCCTACTTGGTTAAGGAAGATTTCAGAAAAGCATTAGAAGCAAAACTGAGCAAGGCGGGGAGAGAAGAGACTCTTGGGACTGGTTTCTGATGGAGAGTGTGACAGTGTCATGGAAGGAGAGAAAGGTTGGGCCAACTGGAACCAGGGAAGCCAAAATGCTGAATCGCCTGGAAAAATACAAATCCAAGGTCATCATAACCATTACCCTCCCTGTCATTTCCATAGCCTTTACTGCCACCAATCACTTCAGGACGTGGCACTCTCTCTTTCCTGGGGATCACCAAGCCTTTAACTGTTTAGTTACATCACCTCAGGCAGGCAGCTTGTCTCAAGTTACCCAAAGCTGTCCGAGATGGCATGATGATACATCAGGGACATCTTTATTGAGACTTCCCTAGGCACCAAACTAAATAGTTCTGAATGGCATTAGCATCTACTCCTCCCCCCTCCCAACTCCAGCAACACTCACTATCTTTCCTCCTTAGGTATTCTCTCTCTTGGGGAATGATACTACCATCTGTGCATTCACCTAAACTATTGACGCCTTCATCATTCCTCACTCTTCTTCTCTTCCTCCCTACCCCCCACCAATGATCAAGTCTTTGCTATTTGTAATACACTTCCCAAGCTCAGACTGAGATCATTTCTTACTAAAACTATTACAATAGCCTTCAGATCGGTTTTCTTTACCCCCTAACAATCCACCCCATAATCCATCCATCACATAGAGGACAGGGTGTTCTGCTTAAAATTCTGATCTAACCACGTTCCTCCTTGGGTTAACACTTGTCCATGCCTCTCATTACTTAGAGGATGAGAATGCAGACTCAAATTCTCCTAACAGGACAAGAGTTAACAGGAAGTCTGAGTAGAATTGGGGCAGCAGAGATTGAGGGAGAGGGAGAAGTAATTAGAAACACCCAGAATATGTGAAAAATTATTTTGAAGTATTAGGTTATGATTTTTTAATAGACCTTATATTTTAGAACAGTTTTGGATTTATGGAAGTCAAGAATAGTACAGCAAGTTCCCATACACTTCATACCCAGTTTCCCTTATTATTAACATCTTACATTAGTATGGTACATTTATTGTATCAATTAACAAAACAATACTGGCACCTTATTATTAAAGTACATGGTTTATTCCAAGTTTCTTGATTAGTTTTTACCTAATGCTTCTTTCTGTTCCAGGATCCCACACATCACACTACATTTAGTTGCCATGTCTCCCTAGGCTCCTCTTGACTCTGACAGTTTCTCAGACTTTTCTTGTTTTTGATGACCTTGATAGTTCTGAGGAGTCCTGGTCAGTATTTTTTAGACTATTTCTCAGTTTGGTTTGTCTGATATTTTTCTCATGATTTGACTGGAGTTATGTGTTTTTGGGAGGAAGAATACAGAGGTAAAGTATCATTTCAAAACATTATATACATGCTTTGTACATACTACTGACATGATCTATCACCTTGATCACCTGGCTGAGGTAGTCAGGTTTCTCCATTGTAAAGTTACTCTCTTCATCCTCTCTGCAACATGCCACCTTACCACTCTGTGTTCTTTGGAGCAAAGTCACTATAAAAAGTCCACAATTAACAAGTGGGGAGGTAAGCTGCCCATCTTTGAGGGTGAAGTATTTATTTCCTTTTTATTCAGGTTTCCATTAAGATGTTGAGTAGGAAGGCTGAGAGGGCACATGGTTGCCCTGTTTTTTATCTTAGAGGGAAGGTTTCCAGTTTCTCGTCATTAAATAGAATCTTAGCTGTAAGTTTCTTTGTAGCTATTTTTAACCCAGATGAGAACGTTCTTCTCTGTTCCTAGTTTGTTGTGCATTTTTATAATGAATGGGTGTTGGATTTTGTCAAATGCTTTTTCTGTATCAATTAAAAGGAACATAAGATTTTTTTTTCTTTAGCTAGTTGACATGCTGGATTACACTGATTAATTTGCAAATGTTGATCTATTGGGTTGACCAAAAAGTTCACTTAGTTTTTTCATAAAATAAAAGACACGTTTTTCATTTTCACCAATAACTTTATTGATTTGAATATTTTTAGTATGTTGGCTATCTCCCATGTCATATAACATTGACTGTTCTCAATTAATGTTTTGATTTGATCGCTATCAACTTCACCTGGTCTACCAGACTGTGGAGCAACACCCAGTGAGAAGTCTCTAGCGCAAAACTTTGCAAATCACTTTTGACACATTTGATCAGTCACAACACCTTTTCCATACACTGTATAAACCTTTTTTTTTTGCATTTCAGTTGCATGTTTACCTTTCTTGAAATAATAAAGCATAATATGCCAAAAGTGTTGCTTATTTTCTTCCATCTTCAGTATTAAAATGGCTACACAGAAATTCACCAACTTTGACAAGTTTTTTTAAATGCATGCTGATATGACAGCTGTCACAATACAATCTAACACAATTGTTTCAAATGACGTTAAAGACAACTAAGTGCTGCTAGAGGCATCTTATGGAAAAAACCAAATGAACTTTTTGGCCAATGCAATATCTTGCCTCTGAAAGATAACTCATGTTACCTACTCTCTGCTATACCTGAATCTTATCACCCTCTTTGGCACTATGGAGCCCAGGTCAATAAACATGTCCTACCTCAGCCCAGGCTACAAGGGACAGCCACTATGTATTTGGCTTCTCAACGATGCTGAGGCCCCTTCACCAATACACTCTTTATAATTTTAATGTCAGGAGTGTCGTCTCGGCTTTCTGAAGAACAGAGTCAGTTGATGGGATTAATGGTTACATAATAGATTCATTCTTGCTAACCTACCTCTCAAACTCTATCCTTTTCTTAATATTCTGCTAAGGTGGTTCTGGCATCTCCACCTCATTTAATGTGGGCCATAACTTCTTCCAAGTTCCAAAAGGCAACTCAGCATCATATTAGGACTGACAATATGCCCCCATATCATTCCCCTAATCAGTTTAATGTTCCACTCCTTATGGGTATAACATCCTCAAGATCCTCCCCCTGGTAAGCTCTCTTTACCATGTGCCTGTCCATATTACCTGCAGATCCTTCACTGTATTCTTTCCTCCCTTAGCCGAACCAGCAGAGCAGGTGTGGACAGATCGTCAGTTAGACAAATATTGTCCTACCGGGCATCCACTTCAGGTGAGGCTTCTTCATAATCTTAAACCAGTGGGAATGTGTGAGCTGGTATCTTCTATCCAACGAGAGTGGCACACTTTTGCAGGCTAAGAAAATTCAGAGGATTCTAGGGTTCAGTGTTATCAAGCACATCCATTAATATTTCAATCCCAAGTCCATTTGGTCTCCACCATAGTCCTGTGCTTGGTACAAGGAACATATGGATGCTGCAAATTTAGCTTTTATGAACTTACTTTTAGGTCCTATACCCATTGTTTACCACTATCTCCTGTCTGCAGGAGATAAGGGGCTCTTTAAACTCTACATGGAGGCTTTCCAATGTTCGCATCATGTCTTAAAAGAGGGTATTCCATTTTTCTTCTTTAAAGCATCAGTAGCATTCAGCAACAATCAACCAATCCCACTGTCCTTATGGTTACCATTTGTACATATATTTCAAATATCAAAGATATTTCACTGTCCAGTGCAGCACCTTCCACTCTATCTTGCTCAAGTTCACCATAAAAGATAATAATGATAGTGCTACAACATGCCAAAGGCTATCTACACTCCACTTACCACCAGTAAAGAGGTTCTTGTTTTCTTCCAGCCAGTGAGTAAACCAACTCTAAAACCCTAACACAGGAACCAGTGTCTTAGAACCACAGCTGGTACCAATTTTCATTGTTTAGGTTCCCCAGAAGTACTCCCTGAGATGAGGCTTTGTTTGGAAATGATTGATTAAGGCAGTGTTACCAGGAGGCACTGCGATGAAAGAGAAGCCATGAGGGTATGTGGTTTTGGCAAAGAAGTATGGAGGACAGCTTCAACCTCGTCCTGCAAGAAAACTCCAGAGTGGTAAAGAAGCCTCAGAGCTGTACTAAGCTAGGCTTGGTACTCCCATGCCTGTTACTAATTGGCTAAGGGCCAATCCAAGAAGACATAACCACTAGGCTTTCTGCGTGTGAGGACAGAGCAAATCCAGTTGCCCAACAGCAGTCATCTGAAGAAGCATCACGCTATGAACAAATAGAGACAACACCATACCTATGTCCACTTGCTGTTGAATGACACCCTGA